AATAATGTATAATTTTTTTTTCCAAATACCACATTGACAACATCGGACTGATCTCCTAAAGTTGTTAGTGTCAGGACTACTGATCGTTCTACTTCTTCGTCTTCAATTATTTGTTGTTCCTCTGCAATGGGGGTTGTTAGCTGCTCGTTGTACTTCTTCGCCTACAATTGATTGAATGTTGCCCTCCCCGACATTCGTATGTACAGCGACATCTTCATTAATAAACATAAGCTCAACTGCTTCTCTTATTACTTCTCTTCTCTTGAACTCGAAAGCAGTGAAAGGAGAACTCAATTTCTTCTTTCTTTTACTTTGTCTGCCCTTAACTTACTTTGTCTGCCCTTATACTTTGTCTGCCCTTAACCCTTTCGATTAAGCTCGGAACAGACCGTTCATGGGAGCCTTCAACAGTGTCTCCTTCAAGAGGGGAGGTTTGTTGGGTTCCCTCTTTTCCCACAGAAGCTGACTGCTGAGTTCCCTCTTCTCCCACAGGAGACAACTGTTGTGCTTTCTCTTCTCCTACAGGAGACGATTGTTGGGCTCCCTCAATTTTCTCCTGGGCTCCCTCTTTTCCCACAGGAGACAACTGTTGTGCTCCCTCTTCTCCCACAGGAGACAACTGCTGTGCGCCTTCTTCTCCCATAGGAGACGATTGGTGGGCTCCCTCAATGTTCTCTTGGGCTCCCTCTTCTCCCACATGAAACGATTGGGGGTTTCCTTAATGTCGAACTCATTATATACAACATCTTGAGGACTTCCGAAATGAGGGGAGGTTAGTTGAGCATTATCTACTCCCACCTTTTCACCTTTATCAGTTGAAATATTTTCAGATTTATCAATCTTATTTTGTAGCACCGACATTTGCCCTGCAAACTCAACACTCCAACATTTATCGTATTCAGGGTTCCCTGAAATTCAGTGAACCATTTCTCTTGGCCTTTTAGCAGCTTAATTATTGATTTCATGTTTTTATTCATTGTAGTGTATATTGTCTCCGGGGCAATGTCGCTGGAAACAACTGGACCCATATCAAATGATACAGATGTCTCTAGTCTGCCTTGGAGTTCCGGTGCTGGAACTGGGTCGGGTAATATTGCATCTGGATTTAAGAGCAGATTGAACTCATCCTCTTTCAGATCCAAAAAATAATCATAAACCTGCAATTTATTTAAAAAAAAAAACACTTTAATTATTAAAACTCTCAAATAAACATAAAATTTTATTTTTTAATAACAACTAAATGTAACTTGCCTGTTTAATATTCAGTCTCTTAAAGGCTATATCAATCTGTGATGAGTTATAACTTACAGTTGTTGGCCACCTCAACATTCGAGGTCTGACCTCAGGAGTGGCAGAAATAACCAAAGAAATGTGCTCATAAAACCAAAGTTGTGTAAAAGAAAATTTATATTCAGCTTTGTACAAATAAAATAAATATTTTTTGACGTTTATATGAGATACTAACCGTTAGAAAAAAAAACCATTTATATATCCCAAAGATCGGTTCTGCCTAATTTTAATGGCTACTGCATTAATTTGTTAAATAAGGAATTCATAGAGCGCAGTAGACCAATTAAATGAAGAAAATGTATGTACATTCTCGCCAAAGGTGTAAAGTCCTTTGAATACATTGAAATTGTTGGAAAGAAAGAATAAATTTGATAAAAATAATTTATACACAATTGATTAAAAGGGGCAGAAGACTCCCCAGTTCCAAATTTCAAAATATCATTCCTCATCAAAATATCATTCAAAATATCATTCCTCATTTGGCGGGTATCTACACCACATGATGGAACTTTCTTCCACTTTGACACTTCTCATCTATTTGGCATGTTGTTCAAAAGGGCAACTTAATCAGAATTTATTCTCAGATCTTTCCCACCCATTCTGAATACCATTCTTTCACGTTGCGAACATTACAATATTTATAATGTCAGGACATTGTCTTGGGGATAAGGTGGAAGAACAAAAAACTGATCAACATTCATCATTTTCAGCTCATTCATGATGTATTCAGATATGTCAGGCCTAACTTTATCGAGCGCATCTCTCACTACGGACGACCGATATCTACAACTCATGGACCTTTGGTTCACAAACCTACATTAAACAAAATAATACAAAATAATATTAGTTATATTCAGGTAGTATAAATAGAATTATTATAGTATTATTTAGCTATTATTCTGGCATTATTTTGGTTATATAAATGAATTTTAGGTTTTATTCAATCTTCTTTAGGTATTATTTGGGTAATATTTTGGTAATATTTAGGTAGTGTTAAGTAGTGTTAGTTTGGTATTATTTAGGTATTATTTAGGTAATATTTCAGTAGTGTTGGTTTGATATTATTATTAAAATTCAGGTTTTATTCCAGTGTTTTTTTAGTATTAATACTGGGTAAACTTGTGATTTGTTACTAAAAAACATCAAGTATGAGCTAAAATACTACTCAAATACTACTAAAATACTACTCAAATATTAGTGTTAAGTAGTGTTAGTTTGGTATTATTTAGGTAATATTTCAATAGTGTTTGTTTGGTATTATTATTAAAATTCAGGTTTTTTTCCGGTGTTATTCTAGTATTATTATGGTAATATTGGGTGAACTTGTGATTTATTATTCTAAAACAGCAAATATTACTCAAATACTACTAAAATAATACTCAAATATTACCCGAAAGCAGTCACTCTGAATTAAATATCTGAGTGATTGTTACTCAAATATTATTAAAAAATTACTCCAATACTATATGGATGAATTTCTACACATTGTTAACATTTTTGTCAATGAAAATATAACCAGCAAAATAAAATTTACCTGGATGAACTTTTTTGAATTTCCTTTTTCTTACGCCCTTTCGCTTCGTTTTTCTTGCGTTTATCAGCCTCCATGGTCGATTCCTCTTCATTCTCCATTATCAACGACTCTTCGGTCTCCATTCTCTCACGGCTTTTTTCGGTTTCCTTCTACATGGGCTAGGATTCCATCTTCGTAAGGAGCAATCGCGATTTTATTTCGATCGGAGAACATCAAAAACCCTCAGCTTTTCTGAATCCAAAACCCTAAATGATTGTCGAATGAATGAATGTGCTTTGCGTGCTCGGGCGACGTTTAGCTTTCCGTTGATCTGATGTTTTAGTGAAGTGCACGATTTAATTTTTAGGTGCTTCGGGTCGGGTCGCGCGGTAGGAAATGAGAAATTTTATTTTTTAAATTGTGGGGTCTGCATTTCCACGTGTCCTATTTTCATTGGACACCGCACACAGACTTGCATGCGGCATCCGCACAGAATAAGCGCTCGTGTTTCTGATCTATTCTTTTTACTAGGAACTAAACTGGGAATATTTACATGCATACCACTTAATTTGTATGTATTTACATATCTAAGAACTAAACTTCAATTTTTACATGTCACCTTACATGAATGAACAGTTGTATTTCACTTTTTAAAAGTCAAAATAGTGGTATTTATAATGTAATTTGAATGATTTGGGTGGCATAAACGTAAAAACGAAGTATATGTGTTAGATCTGTAAGTACATAGGAGTTGTGTGTTATTTTTGTAAATGCACCTTGAAGTATTGTTTGCCTCCCAAATTCAGGCTTACTACTTTTTAGTGTTGCAGTTACTAGCTTTTTAATTCAAGTTGCCTTTTAGAATCCCGGTTTTCTGTGAATATTTGTTGGCGGTGTTATAATTAAAAATCATTTTTTAAAAAAAATTTTTATTTCTCTTCTATTGTTCTTTTAATGAAGGGTTTTGGATATTATTGAAGGGCTCTGATAATGCATCGGCTTTGGTACTAGGAATTCGTTACATTAAACTCAAAATTCAATAATATCCTGACTACCCAGTGTCTCTAACCGAGTACAGAGGATTGACTAGGTTCTATGAGCCATTCCAGCTATCAATTTATGATTTGAAATTGAAAGCTTCTTTTGGTGCATTTATAATTTTTGACATCTGTTACCTAAAAGTTTTATTTTATTTTATTTTATTTGTGAGCAGAAAAAACCCTACATTTCTATTGGATTAATATCTCGATAGCTCAATAGAAAACACGAGTTTAGCGGATGATAAATTATTTGATTTGCCATAAAAGTTGAGAAAAAGGTTTTTAGTGGTTGGGATGAAAATAATTGATTTTGTGGCTGAGAATTTTTTGTATGGGTTTTTAGTTTTTTTTGGATAGCGTACAGTATAAGATATGATTTCGTACAAATAAAGAAATAAAATGGACAACATTGAAACTTTTGGTACTTGTTTCTTCATCATAATCAAATGCTGAAGTAAGCCTGGGACATTAAAATTATTCAAGTTTGTTGTCATTTGGCAACCTTTTTTTGTGAGTTTCATTTCTTTTACGTTTATTTTGAAGGGTAGGATTACCATAAAGGTACAGTAGCGTGTTGTAGATCTTAGCTTGGTGGGCTGCTTGCTTAACGATTACTTTTGCTATGGAAAAAAAATATTTTGTGAAGGTGAAAACTATATAGACTGATTTTTTGCTTTGCCTCGTGGGTGTCAATTGGTTGCTTGTTTATAGAAAAACAATCTCTAATTTCATTTTTTACTCTTTTCACTGATTTTAAATGTAAAAGTGAAGTCATCACTTAAGAGATTTTGAAAATGTGTAGTCTAAAATTCATACTGATTTTCAGTTAGGTAGAAATTAGAATTAAATGATGAAAGCAATAAACTAATCATTTTATCTCTTTATTTTTTCTAATTTTATCAACCCTTATTTTACCTTTGAACCTCAAAGTTAGAATGCATTTCCATTCACCTAGCAGGGCTTCTGACATAGAGGACTGTACAGTTAAAGTAGATAGCTTTAATTAATCTAATGAACTTTTACAAATGTGAGCTTTTGTTAGAGATATGGTTTTTATGTACATTTTTTTCTTGTTGTAATCATACTTCTACGTTTAAGTTCATCCAAGTGTGTTTTTGCAGCCCTTAATCTGGCATTTTTTCCTGCTATTTAAACAGTTAATGTAGATGTGCCAAAGATTCAATCTGTAGTAGAAAGAGAACTTTATAAGAAGAGTGGTTTCTGAAGCTCATTCTCAAGCAACACAGGTAGTTTGCTGCAGATTATTGCTTTCCCTTCTATTTTATTGATTTGAGTGCTTGTTCTGTGGATGTTATTTGAATCCAAACTTACTAAATGCCTATTGTGACTGAATGGTTTAGATTAAGGAAGCAAATGTCACTCTTATTGTGCATTCTTGATTATAAACTTAAAGCTGAGCAGAATACTAAAATGTGTCTTGTTTTCTTTTGTGTTGGGTGTTTTATGAAAATAACAGTCCTTTAGGTGTACACATGCAAATAAAAGAAATCTATGTTTTTTTCTGAGTAATCTGATTGTATTGAGCAATAATTTCACATTTTTATGCCTTGTCCTGTATTGTAAAAAAAACTGTTACTGGATTTTTTTTTTCTAACATGTTATTCTATGATTATGCACAAGTGTATCTTTTTTTTTTTGTTGGGCAAAATATAGCTTTCATTGCCGAAGCTATTTTTGGATTTGTTTTCTGTTTACATGTGTTAATAATTATTGCTTATGTCTGGTCTAATAACCTTGGCAATTCTACAATTTTCATGATACTCCTTATTGTTTGTCATCATTATTAGTCTTATCCTATTTATTTGAGGACAAAATCATCCTACGTTCATTCTAGTAGTGCGGTATTATATGTTAACCTTTTTATAATTTATTAATTGCTATATAATTTCAGGCAATACTATAAATTGTTGATTAGTAATTTGCCTTGTGGATGCATCTTGTGCATAAACAAGCAAATCAACCCAACAGGTGCAATAACCTGGATAACATAACTAGTTGATTTCGGGCACATCGAGGGCCACTCCAGATTTTAATTCATAAAAATACTTACAAAAGTTGCACAATAAGAGCATTAACATACAAACAAAAACTTTGAAACCTCAGAATATCTATAAGAGCAAAAAAATAAAAATAAAAATAAAAATAAAAATAACCCAAAAAAAAAAATACAGCCAAGTTTCCCAAAACAAATGTATAGCAAAATAAATTAAAGAGCTCAGAGAAAACCCTTAAATAAAAATCATAGCATGATTTTTTTTTTCAGAAGTAGTGGAAGATGTGAACGAGACACATTAAGAATTGTGATATATTGAAACATTACCTAATTAAACCATATACAAAATGTTGGTCTCTCATGGCAAATACTATAGGAAAAGAAGCCCAACTAAAAAGTTGCTTTATCAGTTCAACTATACCCATCAGGGTCATAAAAGATCAGGGCAACAAACGTTAGTAAAAGAGTTGGGTAAATCATAGATATGAATAGAATTAACCAGCATATGGGATCCACCCAACACCACCAAAGAGCCGCCCAAAAATAATAGAAGGAAGGTTGCTTGACCATAAGCATGCAAGGCCAACAAAAGATTGTAGCAACCACCAAAAAACAGAAGAATTTTATAAAGTGCTAAGCAGAATTTCCAAAGCACATAAATAATGAACCAAATGGATGCTAGTAAGATATCAACTATGTAGACATAAAACTCAACACCAGGCGAAATGTTGCTCATGAATTTTCATAGGAAATTCCGCTTTAAATTTTCATTTCCTACTTTTTTGTTAAATAGCAAAGAGAATTATTTCAATTGGTATATCAACGGTGAGCCTCCATCACAAATATCTTACAATTTCTTTTAATTTATGCATAATAAATAGTGATATGAGCTGCAAGGAGAAAGACACTTTGTATATCGTGACAACTAAAGTACTCAACTTGATTCAAAACTTTCATATGATTTCAACCAATGTGGAAGAAATTGTCATCTAAAATGTTTTTTTTCAACACATGGAGTGCGTAACAACAGTAAAAAAGTAAGTATGAATGATATTCAATGTTGTAGTTCCACAAAACACATTAAAGGTTGACATATATCCTTCTCTGAACCGAAACATCCTTGATTTTTAGACTGTCAATTGCGATTTTCCAAACAAACAGAGAGTTTTAAAGTACATATTTAAATCAAATCAGTTTCTTTCAATTGACTTTTGGAACACGATTAAATAAAGAGGGATCTGCAGATTTGTAAGAAAGGAAGCGTGATTCGTCCAACTGCAGCAGTACAAGAAATCAAGAATACTTGAAACTTGCTTACTAAATTTATTGGAAATGGAGAGGAAGCACCAAATACCATTAGATATGAATCGAGTCACCTTAACAAGTTTATACCGCTAAATTCTTTATGATACCATTATCAAAGTGCTCAGTAAGGGATTTACCCTGAAACCCGGGCTCATTAAAGAAGAATAGCATGGTGCCATTGTAGATTTTGAAGGTCAACCAGTTCTTGATTTCTAAAGGGGAGAAGCCTTCTTGTGAGGGGATTTTCAGATATAGCCATAATTATCAAATAAACAATTGGTAAGATAAGATGGGTAGTAAAAAAATTTATAAATTAATTTATTCTTAATGGAAATTGAAAAGAGTCAAGTGAAGGCAATCCTAGGCCACCACAATCCAAGGGAAGAGTAGAGGTGAGCCAAGAGATGTGAAATTTTTTGATAGTATCATTTATATGTAAGAAATTGCTAATAATGTTGAATATTTTCCTCCTCAAAACTTTTGGCAGGGATATATAATGAAACCTGCATTATAAATAATTTCAAGTATAGAACGAACCAGTTGAAATCTTCCTGTAGAAAAAAGCAATTCATATCAGCACCCACTCAGCTTTGTATAATGTTTAAAATGTCTGATCAATCAATAACTTTTTAACATTGTTTTGAGTTATTGTTATGCCAAAATGATTCCAAGGGAGCTCCTCAGTTTTAATCCAGAAATATTATAAATACCTCCTTGGTATCCCTCTATATAGCTTTAGCGAAATAAATAGTAGATAATAGTAGATTTATCGAAATTAACTTTGCCAATTTGGAAGATTACAAGATGATAGGAAAGGCTATGAGCAGTGATATCATCAGCTTAGGGCATATCTGTAGACGGGAAAACTGAGGTGATACAAAATGTTCAGAGCAATAAAACTAATTAACTTAACAAATTTTTGCAGTTTACTTGTATTACGAAAATAATTTCTTCAAAAGCTTCTTCATGAATGTGCTCTGCTAGTGTTTGCATTCCTTATGGAGGACCCCCTTTTCTGCTTATCTTCATCTTTTACTAGTCTTTCTTCGTTTGATTGGCCTCACTTCCTCTCCGGCTAGGCCGATCTGGCCTTGGCCCTTTATTCAGCGATCTACATAGATTCCTCCTAGTTTCCATGTTTGCTTACCAGCCTTGCTACTTCATTAATTCTGGGATATTTCCCATATCACAGTCGACCTTTGTATCCTAAGGTGAACTGGGAAGGTCTTCTCTCTACTCGTGTTCCTAAATTTGCTAACTTTTCTCATAGCTTCATCCTTAACTGGTAGGAGATCTCTTTTACATATGAGAAGATAGCGAACGTGCTTGACCTTGGAGCCTTGTTAGATATATGATTGGTTAAAGGTCTTTCTCCTGCAATCCCTTGCAATCAATGAATAAAACCTGAAAGTGCAATGTACCTTTTGACTTATATTCCCTTGCAAGTGGCTTTTCCATTTTTTTTCTATTTGTTTGGAAGATCTGAAAATGATAAACAGTAGTGGATCTTGGTAAATGGACATTTGAGTTTTCCCATTTTAAAGAAAATGATTTTAAGGATATTTCTATATGGTCTACATAATCTTGCCTTTTGTTTTCAGACGGATGCCTAATCATTAATAAAACTGGCTTTCCTCTAACTAAAAATCTTCTCACTTTTGCTTGGCCTATGTTAACTTATGCTAGGGTGTTTTTGTAAATACTACGAAATCCCCTCTTTTTGTGAATGCCATCATTTCATTTAAATGAAAAATCATCATCCAAATGATTATTTATGAGTGGAAACCAGATCCCTGTTAAGTATGTGATACCTTTGTTCATCACTTCTTTACCATCCTGAATCTCCAAACTTTAAACCTTCCACTATTGTTAGTGTAAGGTAGAAGCCATCGTAGGAATAAAGGGAAAATATGAGAAGTCTTGGCACTGTTATAGGCATTTCCTTCTTCACTAGAATTACCAAATCAACCATTTATACACCAATTTTGAATGTTCATGTTTCTATGTTAGCTAAAAATGTTGGTGAATCTACCCCATCCCTCCTTTGTCTTTGCACCTAGAAATATAGCCTAGGCTGCCACGCTTTATGCAAAATTACTGTTATTTCTTCCTACCAGCACCTTCTGCTTTCAATGCGAATAGAATTCTAACCAATTTGCTGTTGGAGAGTAGTTCTACCAATATTATAATTAATATCTCTCTCAATGTGGACACTTCTTTTATCTAACATGCTTTGGGTGGTTAATCTAACAATTTTAGTCCACTAATGCCATCTTTATCTAGAGTTTGGAAAATTAGGATTAAAGGAAGAGGTGCTCCACCCTCTTAATTTTTTTGTTCATCCTAGAATTACGGCCTAAAGAGTTAGGCATTGATGGTGAAGTGATCATCGACCGTGAAAATATGGCTAAGAATCATAACATTGCTATTATATCTCTTGGAGACTTTGGTTTCTTCAACTGCTCTTGCAAACCCAATTTTATCAAGAGGCGGCCTAAAAATTCTTTTTCTTTAAAGAATTGTTTTGTGAACTTTATTTTCTCTCTTGACTATAGTGTTTGGATAAAATGGATTTTTCTAAAGTATCTTTCACCTAGATTGAGACTTATCCTCAAGTCATACAAGAATATTTAAATTTTTATGATTCAGACATATTTTTTGTGATTTATATCTATGCTAATAATTGAGTTTTAGGAAGAATATATTTATGAAAATCTCTCGTTGACATTGTATCAAACACCTTTAAATCTTGGATCATTATGAGTGATATTAATTGCATCAAATCAGCTAATGAGAGAGGAAGCTACTTACTTAACTTTTCGAACACTCTTGAATCATTTGATTGTCTGCTTGATAGAACATTATGTAATAATTTTT